AGATGGTGCTGTTGAAAAGAGAAAAGCAGTCCCCAGGGCTTTTAAAGGAGGGCTAGTTGGTCCAGACAGGTTGAGTGTGGGAGAGGCAGAGCCCTGCCAGCCCACCCCTTCTTTTTCCAACCACCTCTAGGTGAGAGGCAAATGTCCATGGGAGAGAAGAAAGAGCAGGAATGGGTAAGTTCAGGCCTGCTGCCCACTGGCCAAGACATCTTGAGGTTAATGATGGTGTGGGAGGACATGGGGATATCCCCCACCATACTACTTCTCTGGCTGAGGACCTGACAGTTTTTGCTTATACAGGGTTAGTCTGGGGACCTGCCTGTTGATCTAGTGTTCCTCACCCAACACATACACATACGCACACCCAGAATGGGGCTGTGGAGGAGGGCAGGCAGTGGCACTAAGCCTTCTGGTTATGCAGTTTTTCAGAAAGTTCTGCCCATTCCAAACTTGGGTTGTGAATTCCTCCAGCATACAGTCTCATCTGCTTTCCCTCTGTGTTCCCATAGCACCAAACATCATGTCCTATACATGCAGGTACACAGTCAGGGTGACAAACTTGTCTTGGTTTTCTGGGGACTAGCCCAATTTTAACACCAAAAGTCCTGCATGCTGGACACCCCCTCAGTCCCAGGCAAACCAGGATGGTTGGTCACCCTATCAATAAAAGAAACCTCTTTTGTCTCTGCCTCAGAAGTCATACTGGTTGGCTGACTCTGAGAGTGCTTAAGACCTCAGTGTCATTGGCCCCGTGAAGACAGGCAAAGAGCACAGCAAGGCCCAAGGGCTGTTATCTAGGGCTCATATGTCAACAGGAGATACAGATAATTACACACAAGGTAGCTGCAAGGGGGACACAGACCGGTGTAGGTGCACCTGTTGGCTCTTTGACATGGAAGGTTTCTGGGAGGAGGTGAGTTTTAAACCCATGGGCTGACAGACACAAGCAGAGGAAGAATCCTGGGTGAGAGGGAGAGGCAGGTGCAGGTGGAAAGGAGGCTGTGATGGGTTATCAGAGCACAGGTACATGGAAGAGATGGACCACTCTGGCCCGGGAGAGAAAAGAGGTCCAGAAGGCAAAGAAACAAGGAATAAAGGGAAGAGAGGTGTTCTAAACCTGGACTGGGAAGATTGGATTTGGGAAGTTGGTGAGGAGTTATTGTAAGGTGCCACTCAGGGATGAAGTGTTTGGGCCCCCAAAAACATACTAAGAAAACACCTAAATTTGGGGGAGCCACTTCCCATCACTTATCTCCTCCTTTCCTTTAGTCTCAAGCCATGAAGCACACTGTGCTGGTCCCTAGGGCCTCCCAGCAGTGTTCTAGAGTCCAGAGCAATTTTCTCTGTCTTCTGACCTCAGGGTCTGGCCTTCTGAGTCTTGCTTGTTAGGTTCCTCTGCCCCTAGGTCCCAATTTTGCCCAGGAGCCCTAGATGAGCTAGTTGAGTCTTAGTGCCAGACAGGTTGGAAGGAGGCTTAGCACTTACACTTACTATCACTTCCTAGTTGCATTCCTCCAGTTCATGGGAATGTGGCACGTCCAAGGGAAGCTCCTGTCACCAGCAAACAGATCTCATCATAAGAAGGTTCTTAAACTGAATCAAATCGGTAACTTCTGTCTATCAGTCCCAACTGTGTCCTTTGGAACCTCACAGAAATCCAATCCCTCCCTCACAAAAGCACTTAAAGTACTGAGAAGCGCTATCCTCCTCCCTTGGGTATTTTCTTTCCTAGTCTAAATATATTTCAACAGCTTCTAATATGAAAGTCTTCAGGCCATTGTGCTATCAACACGGGTCCCTTCCACCAGGGTCTCCAGAGCCTGGGTGGTGCCTCGCACAGAGCAGATTCTCCATAAATGTCTGTTTTCTTGACACATTTGCTCTTGACACGTGGAGCCCAGAGGCACACTCTTGTCACATATTGAGTTAACTGTGTCAAAACTGAGATCAAATCAAGTTAAGAGAAGAGAACAAAAGAATAGTTCACAAAACTGGAAGATTTCAAGCTGAAAGTGGCAATAAGCTCATAGAATGAGGGTTACAGCTCAGTTGATAAATCATGAGTACATTGATCTCTATTAATGATTAACCACTAGATGCCTACATTCCTTTTAGGGGAACAGTGTTGCATAAATTACTTGTTTGTAGCCAATAGGCTCAGGAAGCTGTGAGGTCATGCTGATGTGAAGAAAGCTTAAGTTCACTTATGGCCAGAGCCCACATTTTGGGGAAATCAGGATAGTTGTAAATTTCAGTTATGCAGCTATGGGTGTTTGGTCTAGGAGTATATTCAAACTATGGGCTCCAGTTTTGTTTTTTCCTTAGGGATTGTCAACTAGAACTTCTAAATCCAGGCTCCTCTTGGTAATGTCCCTATCCCTCTTTCTGAAAGACTTGATCTTAACTGTCCCATGTCCTAGGCCCATGTCATTAGGGCCCTGAGTCCCTCAGCTACAGTGTGCACAGGGCTTGGGTCAGAGCTCTGTGAGCATGAGGAAGGTGTGGTGGTTCTCATGGCAGAGTTTGATGAAGGCCTTCTGGCTCCTTGACGTCTGTTCCTTCATCTACAATCTGTAGGTGTGTCTCCTTCCCATCTCCTGAGGCCTCCCCTATAATCAGCAGGCTGTCCTTTCTCTGATGTTGCTAGACTCTCTCTGCTTGTCTGCCCAGCCGTTCTGCTCAGCGTCTGAGTGTCCCATCTTGGACTCCAATCTGTGCACGCCTTTAGTGCTGGAGAACAAAGACATTTCTTGGGCTTGAGCCAAGCTGGAGAAGTGTCATGACCCTCCATCAGTCCAGTTAAAATCTCTACTGCTAGGAGGGGTCTCTGGAGCCTCTTTGCAGGTTGTGGCCCCGGGGGAGCATGAGTTTATTCCAAAGTCAGAAATTAGAAGAGATAACTTATTCCGACTAAGCAGGGAGGCAAAAGAACTGTGATTCAGGCACCGGGAGATGTTCAGGGACTTGGGATGTCCAGGTTTTGGAGAGGCCCCCTAGGCACATGTGGCCTGTGGAAAGAAGCTCTCTAGCTCTGTGTAGGGATACTGCCTGCCTGTTCACCACTGTCTTTCCAGCATCTGGCACAGCACCTGCCACTTGGTAGGTGGATGAATGAATGTGAGGACAGCTCAGGAAATCTTTCCTGTGTGCCACAGGCACTTCCTCATGCAAGTAAGAACTCTGTTCTGGAGTTAAGAAGGACTCCAGTTAGAATCTTGACTTCACCACTTACTGTTTTGTGAGGCCAGACCAGTTCCCTAATAAACATAAAGGGGCAACACATGTACCCCTTGAACTGCTGCCAGGATTCCCTCAGAGAATATGCATAGAGCTCGGGGCCCGTGTTTGCCATTTGCAGAGTCAGTGAGTTCTCAGGGCTTCAGGTCACTGCTTGAAATCTTCCCCCAAGTTGCCCCCTATCTCCTCCTCTCTTGCCTTAGGAAATCTCTAAGATTAAGAGACTTGGGTGACTCCAGTGCTGCAAGGCTCTCAGGTCAGCCAAGCAGCTCTCCATTGGGCATACCCATATGGGCTGACTCAGAAGGGGGGCCCAGGGGAGTGAGTGAGGGGCCCCTTTAGCTCTTAGGAAGCCAGGGTCCAGGTCAGACCTCAGGGCACCACTGAGGAAGCAGCTACAAGTTCTTTGATGTTAGTCAGTCTTGCTCCTGCTGGACCCTTTCAGTGAGAGGAAGTGGGGTGACATGGTGCAAGGAGGTGACCCAGGCTGACTGGCTTTCCTGAAATCTGGGATGGCAGGACAATTTTAGTCCTTGAGTCTATTTATCTCAGAAGCATGCTTAGTTGCTCCTTCTGAGAGGGATACTATGTTTGTAAGATATCATGGATTCATTGGGGACCCCTTCTTCCATACAACTCTCCTCCTCCCCATTTGAGCCCTTTCCTCCAAAAGCAAGGATCAGAGAAGAAAGAAGCCATACTGGCAAGAATTTGGATGTGAAGTTCTGAGTGTGGGCAGTTCCCAGGTCCTGATGGATTCTCCCAGGTGGGAAATGTGTGTATAGGTGAGCCCATGATACATTGTGGGTGGGGGTGGAATAATCCAGGTGACCTTCCAGGAGGTCTCTGTCAATTTTGCTATTCTATGCACCTGTGAGGTCTGTTTTTCATTCCTACTCCAGATTGTCCAAAAAAAGGGGAAAGGTAATCATCACAGGGATGGACTATGGTTGGGCAGTGGGGAGGAAAGAGCACACATCAAGTCAGACATCAGCCTTGGAATCAGCTTTATTCTGTATTTTACCTTCACCAGGGAGAAGAAAGCAATGAAGCTGGAGAGCAGACCAGCCTGCACCACACAGACACAAATCACATCTCTAAAGAATGTATGTGAAATTATAGGGCCCAAAGCAGACCAACCATCAAGCACAAAGATCAACCAGAACCCCAGACATCCCATCTCATCTGTCCTTATTGGCTGTTTGGATTCAATCATTTATATACTTTTGTTTCATTTTTAAAAGCACAACATCTAACATTCCAATGTCCAATCATTTGCTGTTCCTTTTTAGGATGCACGGACAAAGCAACCCAATTTTTTATTTCTATAACACCACCAACTTCTTCTCGGTATCCATGGTGGTGGTGGTGGTGATCAGAGCAAAGTCCATCAAAAGTCAGCATGTTTTGAGGCTCGAGTGAGAGGCTGAAGCTCTGAATGATGAATGGAAGCATCCTTGGCTGTTACACACTCAAGGCTGGATGAGTTCGTGCCCCATGGAAGCTGAACAACTGCACTATTCCTACAGTTGAAACCTTCTACTAGACTGCTGAGAACAATAATTATTCACAGAGATTGATGAAACACAGAGAGAAATGCCTTCAGAGACAACAGACCCAGTCCTGGAATACTGAAGAAACCGGGAGGCAAGAACAGGTGCACACAGAGGTACCCACAGGTGAAGGTTATTGTAGCACGGGCTTGGGTTAGGTTTTCATCTGTTGGCCATCTTCTTCTTGACCCCAGATGGCATTATGAGATGCTACTTTCCCTTGCCAGGGGGTAAGCACTTCTCCTGGACTTTCTGTGGACAAACTTCCACACATTTTGTCTGAGATAGCTCCTGACATGGCTCCACACACTGAGATGTGCATTGGTCTTGACCTTGCTGTGGGCAACTCTCTTGGTTCAACTCCTGGCACTGAGGAAGACATACCTCCTGAACTTGCACTGAGCACTTCTCTTGGCAGGGGTCCTGGCATGGGGGGAGGCACACCTCCTCAGCCTTTGCCTGGCACTGCTCTTGGGCCTTTTGAAGACATGGAGGAGGCACACATGGCTGCTTGCACTGCTGTTCATTAAAGGACATCCTAGGGTGGGTAACAGAACCTGAAACAAACATAAGATTTGAAATTAACTGCAGTAACAGTACCAGGCTGGGTACTGGGAGATGATGGGTTGGTAGAAGGAAATGGGGAGTGAATGATTATAAACCATAAGAACTTATTTGTTTGCTGTTTTTTATCCTTTTCTCTTTTCTATCCCTACTTCAGCTCCCTCTGACACCCATTTCCTAGGTGGGAATATTCTCATAGCTTTTGTATTGATACCCATAGCCCAATCATACCTGACACCCAGTTCTACCACAGGTTTTCCCTTCTCATCTCTTTGGCTAATCTTTTTGAAAATCAGGTATAAGAGACTAGACAGAATACACAGGATGGTGTGAGAGGCCCAAGAAATGGCAAACCACTAAAAATCAGTGGAAAGTACAGTCCGGTGGAGGAAGAGAACAGCCTCCTGAAGACAGAGAAACAAGGGAGAGGGAGAGAGGGCACAGATGCCCCACTTACCTGTCTTCAACAAGACTCAACAAAGGATGTGGATTGCAAGGCCTAGCAAGGTAGGAACTTTTATATAGTGCCTGGTCCTGCCTCCTGCAGTAACTGACTGGCCACGTGGGTGATGTCCTAATTGTGGAGTCACCATAATGAGCTTCCTCTGAAATTGCCCATGGTTTGAGTCACTGCTTGGGATGCCTGTTAATCAGCCTCCGTTTGGGCCACTGGGTCCTCACCAGACCTCAGCAGGGAGGGGCTCCACTCAGATCTCTATCATTAGAGGTAGCAGCAAAAGAATGTTCATAAAACGTTATCTCAGTCTGTTAAACTGGGACTGGGTTCCTTATCTGCCCAAACTGGTTCAGGATGTGGTGAGAGATAAGATCCACCTTACTCATCTTGTCTTCACCCATGGGAAGACTTTATGCCTAAGACCTGGGGTCTGTCTGGATCAAGGGCATGTATGGGCCATTTCAAACATTTCCACTGATATCTCTTCATTGACCCTGGAAAGTCACACTTCCAGACCCACGGAAGATGGCTTGTCCTAAGACCCCAAGCACACAAAGGACCTGGAGAGAGTGATTTTCCTACATAGAAGTCTTTAGGGAAATTTGAGTAATTTGTTACTCTTAGGTTGTGAAGTAGGGTGGAGGAAATGGGAGGGAGAAGGCAGGTAATCTTCATCTTCTCAACTTTGATTTATGACATTCCTAAAAGTGGAGTTACAGAGTTTTCACAGTGACCAAGAAAATAGGATGGAACAAGGTTGGTTTTCCTCCTTGTCTTCTGGAAAAACTTTTCTTAAAACTTAGGTCAATAAAAGCCACAGGGAATGAAAGGAAAAGTTTCAAAGAAAACACACCCAGTTTTCTCACTTCTGAGCCTCTCTGTGGGCTGCCACTTCTGTCTTGTGTGTCCTCTCTCTCTCTCTCTCTGTGACTTGTGAAACCCTAAACATTCTGCAAGGTTCCACTCAAATCTGCCTTGCAAGAGCCTTTGCTGATTACATTAAACCAGAAATGAATTCACCTCCTTCTGAACTCCCATAGCGTCTATTGTTGGAGCTGTTTATATGATATTTACTATAGTTATTAGGAATTCCAGTTATCTTATGTATAAGATCTTATTACTACCTTGAGTTGTAGGTTCCTAAAGGGTAGGGGGCTAGTAAGTGGAAGATCAATGTCCATTAATGGAGTGAATGCATTAATTAAGGAATAAAGAAGGTGAATGTAGGAGACAATTGGGAGTAGAGGAGGATCTCATGTATTGGAGGATGGGAAAACATTTGTTATAAAAGAAGCCCCTAGGCCATAAAGTGGTGGCCTTGTGCTTGTTTGTTAAAGTTGGTTGAACCCCAGGGACTTTAAAGATGATGGTGTCCCCCTTAACTTGAAGAAGTGTGTTTAGGTCATTTTCTAAATATAGTATTTGGCTAAAATCAGATGTTCCTTTAAAGGTTTATACAGTTTTTGGACACTTGATCCCCCAAAGAGTTTTTAAAATGTGAGCTGGGGACAGACCAGGTGACATTTTGATCTTTAGGGATTGATGTAGCACCAGTGTAGTCACCATCGGTGTCTTGTAAGAGGCAGGTGCCAGTGGTGGACGTGGTCACAGGCTGGCTTCTGGGGGCTAGGTGAGAGTGGGCCTGGGTGGGATGAGGAGAGGGATTTGGAAGACCCATGGTGTATCTGAAAGGACAAGGTCATTTGGAGACTCTGGGAATCAGGTGTAGGATTGGGGGGCTCTCCTCATTTTCCTTCTTCTCTTTTTTCTTCTCTTTCCATTTCTCCTCTCCCTCTTCATCTTTTGTATAAAATGTTGTCTAAGAAACAAGGCAACCCTGTGGAGTCTTAGCAGACAAGAAATTCTCCATCACTGGGGTTATTCATTCATTCTTTCAGTCATTCATGACCCTGCTTTGAAGTGCTCCATAGTCTCATGGAGAAGATTGGCAGAGGTAAGCCCCATACTCCAGAAGAAGGCCCCTTCATCAGTCTTGGATGGATGGAAGGTTCTGAAAGGCTTCTGGGGGAGGAGCATCTGTGTTGTGTTTTGCTGGGCAGTAGGAATTACCAGGCAAGGAGGATGGGCAATGGTGTTACAGGCAGCCTGGAAGAAGGAATGCTTATTAGAGTCCTGCTGAGAGGAGAGTCTGAGGCTAATTCAGGAAAGTGGTGGGTGAGAAGCTGAGGGAGGGATACTGCTTGGTTGAGATTTCCAGAAGTTTTCTACAACAGGATGCATGAGCTGACCTTGCTTGTGCCACATGCATTTCTATGTCTTTGGCTGAGCCTCAGGAGGAGACCAAATAGGGATGTGCTGAACAATGGAGAAAGCAGGTCATGTTCTCATGGAGGAGGGTGAATGCAGTTAGGGAGAGGTCAGAGTTCAACTTCTCTCAAAGGACTCTCTCTCTCTGCCTCACAGTGAGCTGATGACAGTGAAGTGGGTCCAATGTAATTACCAGGGTCCTTTAATGTGGAAAAGGGGGCAGAAGAGCCAGTGTCACAGTGAGGTGATGTGAAAAAGATTTGACTGGCCATTGTTGCTTTTGAAGATGGAGACCATGTGCCAGGAATGTGGACAACCTTTAGAAACTGGGAATGGCAAGTGGACAGATTGTGCCCTAGCGCCTCCAGAAGGAGATATAGCCCTGTTGGCATTTTGATTTTATTTTTTTAAATTTTTTTAAAGATTTTATTTATTTATATCAGAGAGAGAGAATGCACAATCAGGGGAGACAGGCCGAGGGAAAGGGAGAAGCAGACTCCCTGCTGAGCAGGGAACCTGATGTGGGACTTGATCCCAGGACCCTGAGATCATGATCTGAGCCAAAGACAGACACTTAACCAACTGAGCCACTCAGGCACCCCCATTTTGATTTTAGCCCAGAAAGACCTATGTCAGACTTCTGACTTCCAGAACTCTAAGATAATATACTTCTGTCATTTTAGGCCACTAGAGTTATGATAACTTGTTACAGCAGCAATAGAAAATTAATACACCTTCTCAACACCTGAAGTTGTTGGGAAGTCTCATATGAAGATGTAAAATCCCACTTAGTGCTCCCTCATTTAAGTATCTACTCACTGGTCATGTCAACCCCTCAGTCAAAGACCAGCTCTTGGTGATGCATGGGAAAAGAACTGGGCCCAGGACCTCAACTGACCTGGGGTTGACTCAATTACAAAGAGTTTGTGTATCCTGGATAAGCTACTTAGCTTCTCAGACCCTAGATTTCCTCTTTTTGGGAAGGGATAACATTATTTCACAGATTCCTTGTGAGGAATAAATTCGAGAACATATGCACCAACACTTAGGACCATCAAGCTACTTACAGAATGTTAGTGCCATCTGACTCTGTTCAGGACTCAGCTCCCTCATGAAGCCTTCCTGATTCTCTCAGTTCTTATTCCATCTCCTTTACTCTGTCCCCCTGGGGTTCCATCTTTTCTTATGCTTTTCTACTCACTGGGATGTAGTAGACAGTGTACTGCACAGAGGCCCAGAGATCTGGCTCTGTCCCTAACAAGATATGTGACATTAGGCAAGCCTCTGACCCTTTCTGCCCTCACTTTTCATCATCATTAAAATAGGAAAGGTAGCCTAGGAGTCAAGCTAGGTCCATTAAAGCTTTGACATTGTGTGATACTCATGAATGATTAGCCTGGGCATCTATATGACTTTGTAAGTACGTGGATGCATGTCTATGTGGTGGGGCAGGAATGGGGTGATGTGTGGGGGGGTGCTTTTCCTCCTTGATTAGGTTATAATTTATAATCCACCTAGTCTTATGTCTTCTGTGGGTGGCAGTGGCCCAGCCAGGTGATTGAGTGACCTTAGGTGGCCTATATTTTCCTAGATACAGAGTGGGACTATTTGGGGTCCAAGTCCTCAAAAATCAACCTTAGTGGCCCAGTATCTGGGGTTGTGGCCTGGACAGCTTTGGGGAGATTGTTCCATCCTACAACTTAAGATGAGGTGCCTAAATAGTTTCCTTAACCATCCCCAGCCCTACAGGGAGACTGGGGCTAATCTGATTGAATTCCATCTAAGATTTAAGATTTTAAATTTCTGCAGCTATCATTATTAGGAGCCAGGGTGTAATTATACAGGGTCAGCAGAAGAGAGTCAGGTGTGTGCAGGACATGCTTTTTCCCCCCCATTCCCATCAAATAACCATCTCCTTTGTTCAGATCATAAAACTTCCCAGACTCTTCTGATTCACTCGGCTGGTCCGTCTGCATATTATAGAGCAGTGGCTCTGATAAAGCTGAATGGTGCAGAATGTGGCTCACCCCATTCCCTGGGAGCAGGTGCCACTAGAGAGCTTGTGGGCTCCTTTGGGAGAGTCCACTATCCCCTCACTTCCCTGCCTCCAGTAATGCCTGCATAGGGTTGTAGGAGGGGCTGTGAGTCACAGGCCACTGTGCCCAGAGGGGACATGACAGGCCACCTGATTCTTCTTCCTTGTTTCAGCCCAACACGTGCTTTAAATAGCAGGCACTAAATTATTTAT